GCACAGGGATTATAAAAACAGATTTTACATATATTTCTATAAATAGAATGTGCTCAGCAGCATAATTATTAAATCTTTACTAAAAATGCTCATCGAACTGAAAACATACAAAAGAAATAAAAACATACGATAACTAAAAATAAGAGTAAGCAAGTTAGTTGTGCCAGAAAGTAAGGACTTTGTCAAAGAATATGTCAAAAGGACACAGATGCTCAATTAATAGGTCCCAACTGGCCAAATCTGGGAGATTTTGAACATTAAAATGAATAATTATTGAAAGAATATAACCCATTGAATAAAAAAGGAATCTATTAAACCCAAATTATATACATAAATAAAATTAGTATTACAAAGTTTGATAAGGAATGGGATGTTTACATAGTTTAAAATGACTTCTCTTAACCCACTATCCACCCACAGCACAACAGAGGCAGCAGACTTAAATGCCCATCTCCTAGTCTACCCCCAAAAAAGGTGTATCTGCATACTTGAAAAGGTGCTGCCTGAGGGTCTAGCTTTCAATCAGCCTGCATGCAGGTGCGAGATCCACACCACATTAACAAAATGAAGGATAAAAATCATACAATCATCTCAATAGATACAGGAAAAGCATGTGACAAAATTCAACATCTATTCATGATAAAAAACCCAAACTAAGTGGTTATACAGGAAATATACTTGAACATACTAAAGGCCATATACAGGCCCACACCTAATACTAATACTTAATAAAAGCTGCAAAGGATCAGGAACAAAATAAGGATACCCACTCTTACGACTTTTATTCAACCTACTACCCGAAGTCTAGCCAGAGCAATCAGCAAGAAAAAGAAAGAAAAGCACTGAAATTGGAAAGGAAGAAGCGAAACTGTCTCTATGTGACATAACTATCTGTATCATATACAAAATAGAAAACCCTAAATATATATACATGTAGAGAAAAACCCTAATTATGTTTATATTTATATATAGAACCCTATAACTCTCTCTCTCTAAATATATATATACACACACACACACATACACATATATATATATAAAATCAGTTGCATTTCTATACAGTAATAATGAACTATCAGAAAGAGAAATTAAGAAAACAATCTCATTTGCAACTGATTCAAAAAGAATAAAATACCTAGGAAAATTTAACCAAGAAAGTGAAAGAGTTGTAAACTGAAAAACATAAGATACCAATAAAAGAAACAGAACAAGCCACAGTAAATGGAAAGATACTCCATGCTCATGAATTAGAAAAATTAATACTGTTAAAATGTACATAGAACATAAAGCAATCTACAGATTCAGTGTAATTCCTATCAAAATTCCACAGCAAACAAACCTAAAAATTTGTATGGAACCAGAGAAGATCCCAAAGATCTGAAGCAATCTTGATAAAGAAGAACAAAGTTAGAGGCATGCTTCCTGATATCAAACTACATTATAAAGCCACAGTAATTAAAATAATATGATACTGGTATAAAAACAGAGGCTAGAAACTGAGTAAAACAAAGGAGAAAATTATTAGCAAAGACTACAGCTATCACTACTACAGTTACACATTGTTTTAGAGTTCCTAACGAATGTAATAAGAAAAATAAAACAGAAAAAAGCAAAAAATTATTATTTTCAGAAAATATGTTCTACTTACAAAATGTAAGAAATATTACTGGAAAACTATTTGGTTTTACAATAGAGTAAAGCAAAGCAGGAAGATACAAATTTGATACAAAATAATCAACAGACTTTTTCACACCACAGCAATAACTAATTTTAAAACATAATTAATCCCTTTATGAAAAATTTCTGTACTGTAAAGATGTGGATTCTAAATACATTACAATATAATTTCAATGCAATCCAAATAAAACATTCAAAAAGATTCTTTATATAACTTCATAGGATTACTGTAAAATGCATCTCAATTAGAAAATGCCCAAGAATAGCTGGGAAAGTGTTTGAAAATCAACAATAAATATTGATATAAAGCTAAAGTGAGTAAAATGGCATAATGTTAGTAAAAGGTATTGTTTACCTTTACTTTCTATTAGAGAAATTTGGGAACACACACAAAGTATAGAGATTGCTGTAATGAACCACCAACATCAATATCACTGAGTTTCAATAATTATTAACACTTTGCGAATTTGTTTAATCTATTAGTTTACTTTGTTTTGTCAGAATATTTAAAAGCAAATTAGAGATATCATATTGTTTTACCCATGACTACTTCAGTATGACTTCAGAATATATGCCTAACAGACAGACTTAAAAAATTACAGATGCAGTTAGAGACTGAGAAAAATTAGGTGATTAATAACATTTAATACCCAGTTCAAGGCCAATTTTCTCCAACTGTCTCAAAAACCTCTCTCTAAACTTTGTTTAAATCAGACCACAAAGTTCATACACTGCATTTAGTTGATGTGTCTCCAATGACTCTTTTAATCAACTACCCCACTATTTTCTATTTTCATTTATTTGTTCTTTTATCTAACCAATACTCCCCTATTGGTAAATTATCTCAAAGCAAATTCCACAGGTCTGTAAATAACTTCTGTATGTATCCCAAAAAGATAAGGGCATTAAGTCCTTTAATGATATCTATTAAGCCAAATATTCAAATCTCACCATTTGCATGAGAAATATATATTTTACACTTATGAAATAGGATTCAAACAAGGTCCACACTTTGTACTTAGATAATATTCTCTAAAATTACTTTTTTTTCAGATGAGTACAAATTTTTATTTTTTTTAATTTTTTTAAATTTTGGTATCATTAATCTATAATTACATGAGGAACATTATGTTTACTAGACTCCCCCCATCACCAAGTTCCCCCCACAAACCCCATTACAGTCACTGTCCATCAGTGTAGTAAGATGCTATAGAATCACTACTTGTCTTCTCTGTGTTACACAGCCCTCCCCGGGCCCCCCTCGAACATTATACATGCTAATCGTAATGCCCCCTTTCTCCCCCATCCAACTTATCCCTCCCTTTCCACCCATCCTCCCCAGTCCCTTTTCCTTTGGTAACTATTAGGCCATTCTTGGGTTCTGTGATTCTGCTGCTGTTTTGTTCCTTCAGTTTTTTCTTTGTTCTTATACTCCACATATGAGTGAAATCATTTGGTACTTGTCTTTCTCCACCTGGCTTATTTCACTGAGCATAATACCCGCTAGCTACATCCATGTTGTTGCAAATGGTAGGATGTGTTTTCTTCTTATGGCTGAATAATATTCCATTGTGTATATGTACCACATCTTCTTTATCCATTCATCTACTGATGGATACTTAGGTTGCTTCCATTTCTAGGATATTGTAAATAGTGCTGCGATAAATATAGAGGTGCATATGTCTTTTTCAAACTGGGCTGCTGCATTCTGCTCTAAAATTACTTTTAACACTCACTGCACACCCATTTTTATTTTCCCATTATAAGAACTCATAACCCCATCACACTTGCAATGAAAAACTTCCCACATTTTAGAGTTGGCTCGTTGCATTCTTACAGTATTGTTTGACTGGTCCTTCTATCTCTATATTTTGTTTAAAGTAATTTTATCCATGAGCTGAAATAGATTCAGGTTTAATTTAGAGGTTGGGGTAGAAGTATCTCATTGATGATATTCTATACATCCTACCACATCATATCAGGAAACACATGATATCTGACTCTTTGATAATGTTAAGACTCATGAGATAAAATCAAATGATTATTGCCTAGGTCCATTGTTTCACTAGGGGCAGCAACAGAATAATTCTTAAAATTCTAAAAATGTTTAAATTAAATACATTTTATTAGTGTCACGTGTACAAAATAATGACTCATTAATTGTATATAATATGAAATCTTCACCACAGTAAAACTAAATTTTTCCATTCTTTTAAACTGGAATTCTTTAATAAAAAAGACTTTCCCTCATCAACTATTTGGTTAACTTATTAAATTGATACAAGAAAGGCTGGGTTAATACTGGATACTTTCCCTTTAATTACCAATTTCTAATATAATGAGCTAATAAACAAGCAACCTACAGTAATGCCCAATGTCTCCTTTGTAAGTATCATTATAAACTTATGGGTTTCTATATATTTAAGATGTTTTATTCTATTATAGAAATCTTTGATGGGAATTCATGATACACACCATTTTAGACTATTCAGAAAGGATGGACTAGTTAATAAATGGTGTTGGATCAATGAGCTATCTCTCAGAATAAAGAATACACAGTAGTGTACAGGTCAATCCATAACCACAGGCTCTGTGAAACAAAAGGATCTTTGGGATTTTAGGCTATTAATATTACAGTAACTACCAAGTGATATTCAGAGTATTAAATACACATAAAGCACTTAGCATGATACCTAATGCTAAGTAAATTATATATATATATGGATGTGTGTGGTGTGCACTCATTCATGAATGTGCAGTGATGTGCTGGTAAATGTTTAGAACTGGCTCCCTAAGGAAAGAAGCTATGATTTGTAGTGTTTCTTTATTTCCATTATGTAAACACTCCTACCATGGATGACTTCATACTACCAATATGATGTCACTACATCCAGTGTTGGGGACAGATGTGCATAACTCATACTTACTGGCCATTGTAAACTAGCTCCTGCATACTACTGAATATTATCCATATAGTCATACACATTATAAAACACAGCCCTTTTTATGTCTTTCTGAATATGTGCTTACACATACATGTGTGTGTACATATGAATGCATTACATAAAACAAAATGTATAGAAAACAGAGATATGGTTAGCAAATGGATGATATAGTTTTCTCTAGAACAAGATAGGAGAGGATAAACAGAACTTTAATCTTGTCAAAATTCATTGAACTGTTCACCTATTGCATAGGTATTTATTGAGTCAAAATAGGATAATAATTTTTCTTAATTATCCAGTCTATCACCAAGAACACAAACATCTAGATTAGAGTCATAATACACAAAGGAAACACCTTCTGAAAAATATACAACTTACTTTGGCTTCAGTTTCTCCCCTGTGAAGAGTATACAGATGATGGACAGCACTCTGTGATGAGGACCAAGGATGAGTCAAAATTTGGAAGACATGAAAGTCATGACCAAGGGTGTCTGTTGTGACTAGAAGCATTCCTGAAGGACACACCAAAAAAAGGTAAAAGTAAGAACAATAATGTATGTGAATGAAATATTTTCACATATTTTTATTGTTTTAAAATATTACCAAATGAAAACAATTTTCAAAGATACAAGAAACTTCCCATAATAAAAAAAATAGTTAAGACGTAGTATGTTTTTCTTATGCAAATACACAACCTCAACACCACATCAGTATACAGCACAATGGGGTATTATGTTCAATAGCTTTATTATGCTGCTGCATGATCAGCAGGGACATGTTTTATACACCTAAATTTACAGAGACAGAGTTGACAAGCTTTTATAAAATAGCTAATCTGATAACAAAGAATGTGAAAATGATTTATCTCCATAGCACTAAAATTCACCCCCACTTTTGCCATTTCTTAAAACTTGAATGTTAAGTTCCAATTTTCTATTAATATAATCAATACTCCACTTGATTCACCAGTTTAAAACTTCCCTCTCTCCTGGCTTAATATTTATTGAAATTGCCTACAGCGTCTCACAGAGCAAGTTTTATTTTTCCTTTTATCATTTCTTGTTTTTTTTTATTTTTATTTTGGTATCATTAGTCTACAATTACATGAGCAAAATTACGTTCACTAGACTCCCCCAATCACCAAGTTCCCCCCACATATCCCATGGCAGAAACTGTCCATAAGTGAAGTAAGATGCTGTAGAAGCACTACCTGCCCCCTCCGTGCTGTACAGCCTCCACCATGTCCCACACACACATTATACATGCTAATCATAATGCCCCCTTTCCTTTCCCCCCAGTTTATCCCTCCCTTCCCACCCTTCATCTGCTGTACCTTTCCCTCTGGTAACTGTTTGTCCATTCTTGGGTTCTGTGAGTCTGCTGCTGTTTTGCTCCTTTGGTTTTTTCTTTGCTCTTATACTCCACAGATGAGTGAAATCATTTGGTTCTTCTCTTTCTCCGCCTGGCTTATTTCACGGAGCATAATACCCTCTAGTTCCATCCATGTTGTTGCAAATGGTAGGATTTGTTTTCTTCTTATGGCTGAATAATATTCCATTGTGTATATATACCACATCTTCTTTAACCATTCATCTACTGATGGACACTTAGGTTGCTTCCATTTCTTGGCTATTGTAAATAGTGCCATAATAAAAATAGGGGTGCATATGTCTTTTTCAAACTGAGCTGCTGCATTCCTAGAGTAAATTCCTAGGAGTGGAATTCCTGGGTCAAATGGTATTTCCAGTCTGAGTTTTTTGAGGAATCTCTATACTGCTTTCCACAATGGTTGAACTAATTTACATTCCCACCAGCAGTGTAGGAGGGTTCCCCTTTCTCCACATCCTCGCCAACATTTGTTGTTGTTTGTCTTTTGAATGGTGGTGATCCTTACTGGTGTGTGGAGTTATCCCACTGTGGTTTTAATTTGCATTTCTCTGATGACTAGTGATGTGAAGCATCTTTTCATGTGTCTGTTGGCCATCTGAATTTCTTCTCTGGAGAACTGGCTGCTAAGTTCCTCTGACCATTTTTGATTGGATTATTTGCTTTTTCTTTGTTAAGGTGCAAGAGCTATTTATATATTTTGGATGTCAATCCTTTATTGGATCTGTCATTTATGAATATATTCTCCCATACTGCAGGATACCTTTTTTTTCTACTGGTGGTGTCCTTTGCTATACAGAAGCTTTTCAGTTTGATGAAGTCCCACTTGGTCATTTTTGCTTTTGTTTCCCTTGCATGGAAATATGTTCATGAAGAAGTCACTCATGTTTATGTCCAAGAGATTTTTGCCTATGGCTTTTTATAAGAGTTTTATGGTTTCATGACTTACATTCAGGTCTTTGATCCATATCGAATTTACTTTTCTGTACAGGATTAGACAATGATCCAGTTTCATTCTCTTACATGTAGCTGTCCAGTTTTACTATCACCAGCTGTTGGAAGAGGCTGTCATTTCCCCATTGTATGTCCATGGTTCCTTTATCATATATTAATTGATGGTATATGTTTTGGTTAATATCTGGACTCTATTCTGTTCCACTGGTCTGTGGGTCTGTTCTTGTGCAAGAATCAAATTGTCTTGATTACTGTGGCTTTGTAGGAGCTTGAAGTTGGGAAGCGAGATCCCCCCTGCTTTATTCTTCCTTCTCAGGATTTCTTTGGCTACTCGGGCTCTTTTGTGGTTCCATATGAATTTTAAAACTATTTGTTCCAGTTCGTTGAAAAATGCTGTTGGTATTTTGATAGGGATCGCATCGAATCTGTAGATTGCTTTAGGCAGGATGGCCATTTTGGCAATATTAATTCTTCCTAGCCAGGAGCATTGAAAGAGTCCATTTGTTAGTGTCCTCTTTAATATCTCTTAAGAGTGTCTTGCAGTTTTCAGGGTATAGGTCTTTCATTTCCTTGGATAGGTTTATTCCTAGGTATTTTATTCTTTTTGATGCAACTGGTAATGGAACTCCTTTCCTGATTTCTCTTTCTGCTAGTTCATCATTAGTGTATAGGAAAGCAACAGATTTCTGTGTACTAATTTTGTATCCTGCAACTTTGCTGAATTCAGATATTAGTTCTACCAGTTTTGGAGTAGAGTTTTTAGGGTTTTTTATGTACAATATCATAACATCTGCAAATAGTGACAGTTGGATTTCTTCTTTACCAATCTGGATTCCTTGTATTTCCTTGTTTTGTCTGATTGCTGTGCCTAGGAGCTCCAGTACTATGTTGAATAACAGTGGGGAGAGTGGGCATCCCTGTCTTGATGCAGATCTTAGAGGAAAAGCTTTCACTTTCTCGCTGTTAAGTATGATGGTGGCTGTGGGTTTGTCATATATGGCTTTTATTATGTTGAAGTACTTGCCCTCTATAGCCATTTTGTTGAGAGTTTTTATCATGAATGGATGTTGAAATTTTTTTAATGCTTTTTTAGCATCTATGGAGATGATCATGTGGTTTTTGTCCTTCTTTTTGTTTATGTGGTGGATGATGTTGATGGATTTTCAAATGTTGTACCATCCTTGCATCCCTGGGATGAATCTCACTTGGTTGTGGTGTATGATCCTTTTCATATATTTTTTAATTCAGTTTGCTAATATTTTGTTGAGTATTTTTGCATCTATGTTCATCAAGGATATTGGTCTGTAATTTGCTTTTTTGGTGGGGTCTTTGCCTGGTTTTAGTATTAGAATGATGCTGGCTTCATAGAATGAGTTTGAGAGTATTCCATCCTCTTCCTTTTTTTTTGGAAAACTTTAAGGAGAATGGGTCTTATGTCTTCTCTATATGTCTGATAAAATTCAGCGGTGAATCCATCTGGCCCAGGGGTTTTGTTCTGGGGTAGTTGTTTGATTAACGATTCAATTTCTTTGCTGGTAACTGGTCTGTTTAGATTTTGTTTCTTCCTTGGTCAGTCTTGGAAGGTTGTATTTTTCTAGGAAGTTGTCCATTTCTTCTAGGTTTTCCAGCTTGTTAGAATATAGATTTTCATAGTGTTCTCTAATAATTCTTTGTATTTATCGTGATTTTTCCTTTCTCATTTCTGATTCTGTTGATGTGTGTAGATTCTCTTAATAAGTCTGGCTAGGGTCTTATCTATTTTGTTTATTTTTTTCAAAGAACCAGCTCTTGGTTTCATTGATTTTTTTCTATTGTTTTATTCTCAATTTTATTTATTTCTTCTCTGATCTTTATTATGTCCCTCCTTCTGCTGACTTTGGGCCTCATTTGTCCTTCTTTTTCCAGTTTCAATAATTGTGACTTTTCACTATTCATTTGGGATTGTTCTTCCTTCTTTAAATAGGCCTGGACTGCTATATACTTTCCTCTTAGAACTGCCTTCGCTGCATCCCACAGAAGTTGGTGCTTTGTGCTGTTGTTGTCATTTGTCTCCATATATTGCTGGATCTCCATTTTGATTTGATCATTGATCCACTGAATATTTAGGAGCATGCTGTTAAGCCTCCATGTATTTGTGAGCCTTTTCCTTTCTTTGTGCAATTTATTTCTAGTTTTATGCCTTTGTGGTATGGGAAGTTGGTTAGTAGAAATTCAATCTTTTTTAATTTACTGAGGCTTTTTTTGTGGCCTAGTATGTGGTCTATTCTGGAAAATGTTCCATGTGCACTTGAGAGGAATGTGTATGGTGCTGCTTTTGGGTGTAGAATTCTGTAGATGTCTGTTAAGTCCTTCTGTTGTAGTGTGTTTTTCAGTGCCCCTGTGTCCTTACTTATTTTTTATCTGGTGGATCTGTCCTTTGGAGTGAGTGGTGTGTTGAAGCCTCCGAGAACGAATGCATTGCATTCTATTTCCTCCTTTAATTCTGTATTTCTTTCACATATGTTTGTGTTCCTGTATTGGGTGCATATATATTTATAATGGTTATATCCTCTTGTTGGAGTGACCTTCATCATTACATAATGTCCTTCTTTATCTCTTGTTACTGTCTTTGTTTTGAAGTCCATTTTGTCTGATACAAGTACTGCAACACCGACTTTTTTTCTCCCTATTGTTTGCATGAAATGTCTTTTCCATCCCTTGACTTTTAGTCTGTGTATGTCTTTGGGTTTGAGGTGAGTCCCTTGTAAGCAGCATATAGATGGGTCTTGCTTTTTTATCCATTCTGTTACTCTGTGTCTTTTAATTGGTGCATTCAGTCCATTTACATTTAGGGTGATTATTGAAAGATATGTACTTATTGCCATTGCAGGCTTTAGACTTGTGGTTACCAAAGGTTCAAGGGTAGCTTCTTTACTATCTAGCCATCAAACTTAACTCTCTTATTAAGCTATTAGAAACACAGTCTGATGATTCTTTATTTCTCTCCCTTCTTATTCGTCCTCCTCCATTTTTATCTGTTAGGTGTTTTATTCTGTACTCTTTTGTATTTCCTTTGACTATTTTTGTGAGTAGTTGATTTTATTTTATTTTTTTGCCTTTAGTTAGTATTAAGTTGGTCTGCTTTCTTTGGTGTGATTTTATTTTCTCTCTTGACATCTATTTAGCCTTAGGA